GCGTAAAAGTTATTTACAGGGTCATACAGTCAACAAATTCAACAGTTAATGTACATTACCTCTCAAAAGATATGATGTCTTCTAAATATTATTCAAGTTTAAAATATTTTAGCATCTTAGAAAGTTATAATTACAGAAATTGTAACATTCTTAAGAGCAATAAGATCACAGGTTCACAAATGATATTTCTAAACAAATTGAGCTGCATCATGACTTAAATCAAAATGAAAATTCAAGTCTGTTGATTCACTTTCAGTTATTCAGAGACCTGTTTAATACGTGGTTGCATTATAGGATATTCTGATTTAAGTTCAAACGATAAATGGTTATAAGTCGAAATAAATGCGTCACTTATTACTCTATAATTCTCGTCTCTTTTAAGTCATTTTAAATTGTTAAAGTGATCAGTTTCACAAATTAAATTGTCTGTTATTTTGTGTACCAATGTAACAGATTTTATTCCGTCAGAACTTAAAGACTAGAAAATATGACAATAGCCATGAATGAGTGGTCATTCGATTGAAAATATCTCAGTCCTATAGGGCTTTAGTCGCTTCCAAATGGATTAGTGCTAATATTCCAGACTCTGAGACTGAATTACGCGAGTTTGAACTTCACAAAGAACATCGATTGGCCCAAGATTACTGGCACACCGCGCTGACCAATACAAATTAGCACGAAATATAGGTTCAAGTCTACTACTTACTACATTCAACTACTTAACATATAAATTTACAATCTTAAATGGGTGTATCTTTTAGGTGTATTACATAGCGCAAAGCACACTTTTTCAGGTTGAGAAAAAATATAGGATCGTGAAGCAATCTTTGAATTTATAGAATCAATATGGTAGATATGTCTAAACAATCAAGAGATATCTGAAAAACTAAATAACATCAATTATTGTAATATAATGCTGTTCATTTCTTATTCAGAATGGTGTTGTGGAGATTGTTAAGTTTTTGATTGACATCACAAACCTATTGATGTTAGACCACCGTCATATTTCATATTTCTAACCCGTAAGCTATTTTCATCCTGCCTTCTTATCTAACTACTTAGTCACCAGCTAACCTTATTTTGCTGTTTGAAATTTCCGATTGCTAGATGATGTAGTCTCTTTCTGCTCTTTAAGTAAATTATACGTTTAATCAAACAACTATAAATTCTAGTGTACATCTAAAGTAAATTACTTCATGAAAAGAAATTTTTCGCTGAAATTTCATGATTGTTTGTTGACCAAAATATCTTATGACAGCTTGAAAAATATTTTTAGTAGTTTTTATCGATAACATGAACGTTTTGCTCTTGTTTCTACTTCCTCCATGGTTTTAGTTTTTAAAGCAAGACTAAAGTCCATTCATTATAATTTCAAATCTCAACTCGTTTTTTTTCCTAAATTACTGTGTGCAGACAGAAACAACAGAAATAAATTTGTTTTCCAGGTTTTGAATATTTTTGTTTCTCATAATAAGAACTTCAAATTACTAATATCTAAAAAGAACCGTGGATGTAAACCAGCTTACATATCTATTGTCTTTTAACTAAAAATGTCAGTGGTTATCTGGTCTTCTTATTTAATTGATTATCCCATACGGATTTAAGAGTAATAGTCAGCGGGTATAAATGTCGATGCGAATATAAAAGGTGGAACCAAGAGACTTTTAGCTAAAGGCTAAAGTTCAACAGGTATTAAATCTGTCGCGAAGTTTACAACTAGTTAATAAAGGATCAGATGTCCAATGAAATAGTTCGAACATGTGATAGACAATTAAATAAAATTATCAATCATTATATAAAATTGTGGGTTGAAGAGTACTAGTCAACAGCCTATGCTCTGTTGGAAGTAACAGGCCTAAGTAAGTAAGTACATAAAAATGTGGGTCACTAAGTGGAATATTTAACGTACTTAGTTGGGCATAAAAAATCAACTGGTTAACCCAGCATTTAAACTAAACTATTTTATTCAATTCATCAAGCAACCACCCAATTTATTCCACTCAGAAATATGAATCAATTGACGACCATTTATTCTAAAAGACGTGTTAGAACGATGTTACATAGAAAGATGGAGAGCAGAAATACTACATCATTAGTAAAGGACGACTATGATAAAGCTCAGGCATTCTCAAATTACTTTAACAATGTATATACCGCATAGATGCTTTCTCCTTCCTCCCATACAACTCCTTATACACACTGAGAACTCCGTGACCATTTAAGAACTCGATGTCTTTGGTCTACTAAATGAGCTTGATATAGACAAATCCATGAAACTTGATGAAACACCTCCTAATTTGCTACAGGAATTAGAAAATTTTATCACAAACTCCTTACGAATATGCTTAGGTCTATCCGAAACCCATAATATATAGAAGAATGCCATAGTAAGTCCAGTCTTCAAAACAGGTACAAGACACAAACCTGAGAACTATTAACCCATAAGACTAACTAGTGTGACTGTTAGTTTTAAAAAAGAATATTCGGAAGAGGTTGTATAAGTAACACGATAAGAACCGGACTTTTTCTGAAAAGCGCCATGGCTTTAGAACAAATTATTCATGTCTCAATAACTTCTTCGTAGCCAGTGAAAGTTAATAAGCTCATAAAGATCCAAAGCTACCTATAGATGTAGCCTATATTGACTTCAGTAAGGCTTTTAATAAAAATCTTCCCAACCGACTGACATATAAATTGGGTGGTATTGGGTTTGGAGGCACTTCACTAATGTAGAAAAAAGACTTCCTGGTTGGGCGTCAACAAAGAGCACAAATAAAATCAAAGTTGTCGAGCCGGAAAACTATATTTAGCGGAATGCTTCAGGGTACAGTTCTGCAACCGGTGTTGTCCCTCCTATGAGTAAATGACCTTCCTAGTCTCCTATCATCATTCTTTTATATGCAGACCCTGTCAAGATATGGAGTGAGATGGAAAGTCAAGGTGATACTTTAGAGCGTCAAAATGACTTGGAAAAATTACCGAAATTATCTAGAACTTGGCAGTGCATTACAACTCATATTGATCACCAAGATTCAGATACGTACACGGTGAATAACAGCGATCTACCTGTTGTTCACACATAATGACTTATGAGTCATCGTTGCCAAGACTTAAAATCCACTGCACACTGCCGTGAGACAGCTGTTAAAGCTTTTACAATCCTATGGTTCATACGTAGAGCTTTTGGACAAGTCGATGCTGGAACCCCTTGACTTTTTATGTAATATTCGTTCATCTTAAACTCCAGCGCTGAATACAAGCGAACAACATTTGCCTAAAACGAAACAGTGAACTGTTTAAAAGAATTCAGAGAACCACAACTAAGCAGATACCCGGAATCGCGAACCTCCCGTATGATGTTCGACTGGCTAAACTAAACCTATTTCCTTTTACATATCGAAGAACCAGAGGTAAATCGATTGCATTTCTTAAATCTGGAATGCCCTCATTTTTGTTGTCTTCCGAAACAGAGAATTCATAAGGACACTCTAAGAAAGTGTACAAACCCATAGCAAATTAGTCATCAACTGACTATCAACTTTTCTGTTGAATCACCGACAAATGAAATTCGTTACCTGAACACGTGATTAAAGCTTCACCTGTCGACGCCTTCAGAAGAAAGCTGAGTCGAATGAAAAACAAAAATTTCCAGGACTAAAACAGGCCACCTAATCCCTCACCTTTTTCATAGTGAAACTGTATAAGAACTTTTCAACTGAACATTGTGATGCTCCATGTTCCATGTTTTCTATGGAGAAAGCATATCTAAAAACTGGTTGTATCAAGACTGATGTTTTGATATAACTATGTAGGACCAGTAAAAACTTGTTTATTTGAAGCACCACATTAAATAATTTACTGAGCTGTAATTTAGTGGTTTGGACATTAAATTCAAACACGAATTCATAGAAAAAAATTTTCTCACTAACTAGAACTATTAGGCCAGGAATGCACTTTGATTATGAGGTTATAAAATGAACGTCTGATATATATATATATATATATATATATATATATATGACAAATGCCGGAAAACATTGTAAAAATTAAAGGTGACTTCGAAATCAGAAACTAGAAGCCTCTCATCTTCACCTGACAACTATCTTGCTTATATTTTAGTGTCAAATGAGGGAGCGGCATCGCAGCCTTTTACATCGTTCTCAAAAGTGATGTTTAATGGCTGAATGAACTTTTTTGCAACTGAAAATAATCGATCACTTCGAATTATTGATTTTTGTCTTTATAAAATTTGAAAATATTATTCCACTCGTTGCAAAACTGACTCTTGTTTCATACCTCAGTGCCTAAAGTTTAATTACCGACGTATTGATTTTCACTTTGTATGAACTAGAGGGTACGGAAATACATTATTGTGAGTCGATCAGTGACCTAAAGCAATACATTCCCACTGAAGAACAGTAGACAGATTAGAGCTGGTCCATATTGGCTAATAGGATACTTCATGCAACTAACCAAATACGTACAAAGTAAGCTTTTAGTTTACAAGACGGTCAGTTAAGAACTCGTAGATCAATCCGAAGTGCTTTTCCCTTTAAATATTCATGAATGACTGAAAACCATACTGTACTTTTCCATAAAATTAAGGTAACCATCCGCAGGTCAGACTTTTTTTAAACAAAAATTAAATGTTGATGGTTTCAACTAACAAAGTTTATAGTGAAATGGATTCTATCACGGCAGTGACAATCCTAAACAGAAAAATAAACCGAGGTACGAAGTATGAAATTAAAAATGACACACAAAAACTTTTTCGGTAAGTTAAAAAGCAATACAGATGATGTTGCTTCCTTTTAATAAGTGCAAAAATGGTCATTATTTGAACATATACGAGGAGAAAGTGTTTGCTACCAGTATGAAATCAGTATTTTTTGTTCTCTTGTTACAGAAGTGTTCCGCAGACAACTGATGACAAATGATTGTTGAAGTAAGAAACGTTATTGTAAATATTGAATGTCCTTTAAAAATATTTGAACACTTACGATTAACTGATGATTTTCGGTCCATCATAAGCGGTAACACCCACTCATTTTAAAATTTTGACAAAACTACGCTGCATGAATCTGAGGTATAGGTGATTTCAAACAATTTCAAACCTGTTTTTCAATTTCACGAGTACATAAAAATCTTTATTATATTTGGAAATTTTTACACATATTGTTTTTTTATTGTACGGGATAAATGTTGTCGGCGGTCGTGCTTCCATCGAAAATTGTATCCACCGTATAGGACAATGGAATGACATGGTCCTAGACTATCCATCTAGTTACCAGGTCACTGAAGATCGAAAAGTGTACTGATCGTTGTCAAAGTCAAGGACGACTAATGCCTAGCAATCGGTTTCACGCCTGGACTGGCCGATGCACCTAAATATGTAATCGAGTAATTAAACATTACTTACTTACGCCTGTTACTCCCAATGGGGCATAGGCCGCCGACCAGCATTCTCCAACCCACTCACAAATGGGCTTTCCCTTCTAGTTCAATCCAATTCTTGTTCATTTTTCTCATGTCTATCTCCATTTCTCGGCGTAATCTATTCTTTGGTCTTCCTCTCCTCCTTCGACCTTGAGGATTCCATATGAGGGCTTGTCTTGTGACGCAGTTGGGTGCTTTCCTCAATGTATGTCCTATCCACTTCCAGCGCCTCTTCCTGATTTTTTCCTCCACTGGGATCTGATTTGTTCTCTCTCACAGTAGGTTGTTGCTAATAGTGTCTGGCCAACGGATCTGAAGTATTTTGCGTAGACAACTGTTAATAAACACTTGTATCTTTTGGGTGATGGATTTCGTAGTTTTCCAGGTTTCGGCCCCATAGAGTAGAACTGTCTTGATATTTGTATTGAAAATTCTGACTTTGGTGTTGGTTGCCAATTGTTTTGAGTTCCAGATGTTCTTCAGTTGTAAATATACTGCCCTTGCTTTGCCGATCCGTGCCTTCACATCTGCATCAGATCTACCGTGTTCATCGATGACGCTGCCCGAATATGTAAGAGTTTATACATCTTCCACATCTTCTCCATCAAGTGTGATTTGATTAGTGCGTCTTGTGTTTACTTGTCTTTACTTTGAACGAGTCTGCCAGCTGTCCTCCGTGCACGATTTTGCAGTTCAATCCATCATAGGAATGCTGTATATTATTGACTATCTTCTCAAGCACCACGTAGTGTCGCAGAAGCTTCCATAGCGTTGTCCTCTCCACGCTATCAAATGCTTTTTCGTAGTCAATGAATTTGATGTAGGGTGGTGAATTCCATTCAATTGATTGTTCCACAATTATCCGTAGAGTTGCGATTTGGTCTGTACATGATCCAGCCTGTTGGTTTCGAAGTTGGGTGTCTACGGAGCTTTTCATTCTGCTTAATACTACCCTGTTGAAGACTTTTCCTGGTATTGTAAGAAGAGTGATACTTCTGGAGCTACCACACTAGCTGAGATCGCCTTTCTTTGGTGTTTTGATCAGGTGTCCTTCTTTCCAGTCTGTTGGTACTTGTTCTTCGTCCTAAATTTTACTGAAGAGAATGTGGTGTATCTTTGCAGTTATTGCTAAATCTGCTTTCAGTGTTTCTGCTGTGATGTTGTCTGGTCCCGCTGCTTTGCTGCTCTTGAATTACCTGATGGCCATGCTGATCTCTTCAATTGTTGGTGGGTCAACATCGATTGAAAGGTTCGGGGGAGTAGCAGTCTCCATTTGTCTACTTCCTTACCTAACCTACTATAAAGCGTTGCTTATGTTATTTTGATTTTGTATTTTTTTTATGTAACAGATAAAGCCATACCAGAATATTGTTTATGATAAAGAAGAAGGGAGTACAAACTGTGACCACCACCATATGAGCCAGCACTCGCTAACCGTTGCTCTCTGAGTGCGGAACGATCCAGTTTAGTGATATCGGGAAACGATTTGACATTCAAATATAATTCTACAGTTTACACGAAACTGCATTCTACTGAACGGCTGTTTTACATGTAAATGCCACAATATGTCTGTGTAAACATAATAATACATTAATGGAAAACGATCGATTTATTGCTTATGACTTCCATAGTTTTATGTATCTTCATTTTACAATCAGGCTGTTTTGTTGATTGTATTCTATCCAAATATCCCAGCATCCAATTACATCAGTAGTAGTAGGCTGACTGAAAACGCAAAATTTTACTAAGGGAGCAAGAGAATCCTAGTTGTTGTTACAATTACTTTTTCATGTCTAATGCTGCTTCATCATTTGCGGGGAGATTCGCACAACCTTTATATGTGTTAAATCGTGATATGATATAGTGATACTGTAATGATAGCTTAATAGCACTGAATCTTCACCACTCATCAATAACAAAAATAAAACCATTCCCATGTTAAACGGGAGAAAATTGGCATTTAGTTTATAATGGAGAAAAATAGTTAAGGTCAGAAGGTCAACCTGGAAACATTATTGCAACCTCATGGCATCACCGCACTAACTACTGATATAGCGCAAGATAATACAAATTAAGTTGCCACATTATATAGCAGTTCTCCATATCAAGTAGAATGTAAGTCTATCAGTACTGACCTTTGGTTTAAACCCTAATATACTCCTAACACCTGATAACTATAATCAATGAAATACTCCATAGTTGATATCAAAATGCGTGACTATCAAGTAGGGGTAATTGCTAGACCTTATCGCTTCATACCCATGTTAACTTATTACTGCATTCACGAATTTCACATGCATTCGTACATGCACATGTTTGAAATGACTTATGCAATACGAAGGATTAATCATTAAATTCTGGGGCGACTGCAAATGACAACCAAATAAGCCGACAACCCCAAATTTTTTATGACGCTTTCGGTGTTGTATTATTATTAGGTATGGTTATCGATATCAGTATTATTCCACTGAAGCTTTCTTGGTGGAGTGTCATTTTTGATAGCAGTACAGGTATTCAAGCAAAATGTAAAACGAACATCCGTGTATGCGGGGAATAAACTCTGATAATGGAACTGAGATTCCAATTTCATGGATATTTATTGTAGCAGAAACAGAACAGCTGAAAATTTGGGCAAACCCCCTGATTGCTTCGAATTTTCCGGTTGATATAATGAGAGTATGTCTTTAGGTCAGTGATGTTAACCTTTCGGTATCCATACAGAAGAACTTCTGGAACCGGCGCATAATTACCGTTCAAGAACATGGAAACCACATTATTGTGTTACTTCATCTATTTGAAGTTTGAAAGATGCAATGTGGAGACGTTATCAAGTTTTATGGACAAAATAACTAACAGGTTGGGTTTTGGTTCTCTGTGCGAAAATGATCCCCTAATTTCCAGCCCATACACTAATTAATGTACCCAGCATCATTAGTCGATTACCTCGTCTGATTATCGATGGAACTTGACTCAATAATGCATATTCAATGTTCTTAGAAATTTTTCTACGTTTCGATAAATCCTTCTACAACCAAAGAACATGAAAATCAACTCTTCAATTCCTAAATATCCGAATTTTATTATTGAATTTCCAAACACCCAATTCATATGTGTCTCCTCCATATTGAAGATTTCAAAATACTTAACAATGTGCAAATTAAAAGGCTGGTTACAATCATAGGTTCTACCCCACACCGTCATTCACTGTAAAATATGGTAGCAACCTAGACGAAAATATGGGACCGTTCTCACTGTAAAATAAACTATTTTTTATGAAAAATACGGTAGACGTCAAAGGAAATCATTTAACAGATAATTTTGTAATCATCCTTATTCTTCTTCATAAGTTCATATTAATTGCATTTTATTGTGGAACATTCAAAAAATATCACGAGCTGTTTGAAAAAGATGGTGACATTTTGCCTCACTGAGTTACTTTTATTGATTTGATAGTTTATTACTCATCAAAACAGTTGTTTTTGCTCTAACTAAATTTGTTTTAGTTAAAGTAATCGCTAAGTATATCGTTTTTCTCGAAAGTAATTTATCATCTGTACTTTTGAGTACATTGGTTCTTTTTGTATTTTTTTGCACTTTTGGTTCTAAAAATTTACAGATTTTAACTTTTTCCGGTCATCAGTTTCTTTTGTCTCTAGGTATTGTTTATGCATAGATTCTTTTTGAAAACCTTTGATTGATGAATGTTCAGTGAAAAAAATCAATACTCAACACACAGACTCTCGATGCCCTGTGGAAAGCGGCATACAGTGCGATGAGTACAAAGGATAGTACCACGAAGTTTGAACGAATTTAACACCTGCGTATTTCAAACTATTTGATAAAAATGGTTGTATGTGTTTGTGCCAGCAGTGCTGCTGGAACGCAAACAGCTTGCTAGCCGAAGCCACTGAATTGGTGAATGCTGCTAAAAAGCATATTTACAAACGTAATTATGATAAATAAAATGGTGCTCACATCGATCCACAAATCGATGTGAAATTACCTCAAATAAGCTCAGAGTCTGTTGACTTACACGGGTAGATGGAGGAAGGTCTATAAAGAGGTTTGTTAGAAACAAAAACTGAAGAAAGTAAGCTTCTTCTGTTCGTTACCCTCCAAATAGCAGCGAACAAGAAACACCTAGAAGACGTAGTCGTAACGCCAGGTCTGTTTCTATCAGGAAAAACAACCTGACTACTCGAGTCATAGACAATCATTCAAGATCTCACAGACAGTAACGCGACTCTGATTGCTACTCCAGTGAAAGCTGATGAGAATATATTTATCTGGAATAAGAAACGACCTAATGTCGTTAAAGAAATGCCAGTCCTTCGAACTGTAGCTGAGAAATTAAAGGCTAATCATAATGCCAGGTCAGTTGTCTTTTAGAGTCAAGGAGATTGAAACTCCAGAATACTGAACTCGCTTTAAGCATGACGTAAGATTCATAAAAGATCTGTTAAACTAATTAATGCGTCAGGACAACTCTGGAATCGCTCTGCTTAAGGTATATAAACTAAATAGCCAAGAGGATTTATAAAAATCAAACCGGGCCGCTAAAAGTGGTATTTAATTGTCTAAGTGAAAGGGAC